TCTCTCCCTCCTCTCCCCCTCCCTCCCCACGATGGAGTGCAATCTGATATAGGCTCTACATATACATTCCTATTAAACATATTTTCACATTAGTCATGTTGTAAAGAAGAATTAGAACCAACAGGAGGAACCACAAGAAAAAAGAAACAAAACAGAAGAAAAAAAAACAAATATGCTTCAATCTGCATTCAAACTCCATAGTTCTTTCTCTGAATGTGGATAGCATTTTCCATCATGAGACTTTTAGAGATGTCTTATATCCTTGCATTACTGAGAAGAGCTAAGTCTATTAAAGTTAGTCATCACCCAATATGGCTGTTACTGTGTACAACATTCTCCTGGTTCTGCTCACTTCACTCAACATCAATCCATACAAGTCTTTCCAGGTTTTTCTGAAGTCCACATGCTCATCATTTCTTATAGCACAATAGTATTCCATTACATTCATATACCACAACTTGCTTAGCCGTTCCCCAATTGATGGGAATCCTCTCAATTTCTAATTCTTTGCCACCACAAAAAGAGCTGTTATAAATATTTTTGTACATGTAGGTCCTTTTCCCATTTGTATGATCTCTTTGGGATATAGCCCTAGAAGTGCTATTGCTGCGTCAAAGGGCATGCACATTTTCATAGCCCTTTAGGCATAGTTTCAAATTGCTCTCTAGAATGGTTGGATCAGTTCACAACTCCATCAACAATGCATTAGTGTTCCAATTTTCCCACATCTTCTCCAACATTTATCTTTTTCCTGTTTTGTCATGTTAGCCAATCTGATAGGTATGACGTGGTACCTCAGAGTTGTTTTGATTTGCGTTTCTCTAATCAATAGTGATTTAGAGCATTTTTTTTCATGACTATAGATAGCTTTAATTTCTTCATCTGAAAACTGTGTTCACATCCTTTGGCCACTTATCAATTGGGAAATGACCTGTATTCTTAAAAATTTGAAGGTCACAAAGTCTTTTGAAATGTTTTCTTTTTTTCTTCACGTTATCATAGAACTTGTATCTTGGTTGTGATCACTTAACTTCGCATTGGTTCATATGGTATCTTTCCTTTTGTGATTTCTTATGGTGCAATAATATTCCTTTACTTTCATATAACATAATTTGTTCAGCCAATCTCCAAGTGATTGGCAACTTTTTATTTGCAGTATGTTGCTAAAACTAAAAGAACTACTACAAATATTTTTCAGTGTTTGGATCTTTTCCCTCTTTTTTTGATCTCCTTGGGGGTATCACTTTGGGATCTAAGTAAGAGTGGAATCAAACAGTGAGTCAAATAGTATGTACAGTTCAATGACTTTGGAGTACAGTCGCAGTATATACAGTAGGAGTATAGTCCAGAATGCTAGACCACTTTGTTGTTCTACCAACTACACGTTAGAATGTCTGTCTTCCCAGAGTCTCTCCAATATCATCATTCTGTTTTTTTTTTCTTTTTCTTTTTTGCCAATCTCATGAATTTAAGATTGGAAATCAAAGTTGTTTTAATTTGCATTTTTCTGATTATTAGTGATTTAGAGCATTTTTCATATGGCTGTCATTTGTAAATTTGGTCTTTTTTTTTTTCTTTAGGAAGTTCATTTTATGGCTTGTTCAATTTTTCTGTATTTCTTTTTCTATAAATTTAGATATTTTATATATCTGTAGATATTAATCTATTTCAATTATCAAGTTTTACTGGCATAAAATTAGATGTAATCAGTGGCTCCACCTCATTTGCATAAGATTCTCCTCATTGGTGGAGAATTACTTTGTGCCTTATAGAGGGGCATCACTGTTCAGCACTTGGTTGAGGAGACATACTTGTAGTGGCTTCCAGCTTTGAGAGAGGAGATACATGGTAAAGGATTTCCTTCCAGGAAATGTCTCTGAAGGACGAAAAGAATCTGGAAAGGAGTTGACATGTAGAAGATTTGGCACCTTAATACTATTTCTTTACTGTTAATTTTTCCTGCCTTACTTTCTGAATTCAGCCCTAATTTCTGAATTGTTTCAGGGCAATTGTGAGGAAATAGTGGTGCTTTGTTTGTTCCCGATCAGTACTGTCTAGGGTCTTTCTAATGCTTCCTCCAAATACTGAGCTGTATATTCTTCAATGACCTTGGGTGGCTCAGGCTAGCAGACTGCTGACTTTCAGAGCTTTTTTTCAGGCTCTGGTCAGGTCTGATCATTGCCTTTGCCTTCTAGCTCTGAGCTCTGCAGACTCCTAACCCAGGTCTGGAATCAGACCTACACACCTATAGAATCCAAGCGTTTCTAACTCTCCTGTGGTCAAAGCTCTGCCCTGGGATACATAGCTGCAGGCTAAATATTTCTCTAGCTCTCCCCTCGTCACCTGATGGCATGCTTCTGTGGCCTGCATTCCTGGGCCTGGAATTTCTGGCTGGACCCTATCCATTTGTCTCCAGCCTACACAACTGCAGTCTCTAGGTTTCCCTAGTTCAACCTTGGTCTGCATGCTGGAAGTTTCCTTGAGCTATACTACCTAACTGTTTTTTCCCCCCGACTAGATTTTACTAATGACCGTAACCTGGTTCTATCTTTTCAGACTGAACTCACACTATGCCCCTCCCTGCCCCCACTTCAGCATTGTCTTCAGACTTATCGGGCAATTGGTCAACAAGCATTTATTAAGTGCCTAGTATATTCTAGGCACTGTGCTACAAGCTGTATACAAGTACAAAAGATGAAGCATTTCCTAGTTGCAATGATCTTACATCCTAGTGAAGAGACAAAAAGTACATATAAAATATGTACACAGTATAAAGATAATACAAATACAATGATACAATAAAATAAAAAATAATACAAAGTAGTTAAATACAAGGTACTTTGGGAGGAAAAGCACTAGCAGATGGCTTTATACAGCAAAGGTTTTATATAGAAGATAGTGGCTGAGCTGCATCTTAAAATGGTTAGGATGGAATCACTGGAGAAGGCAATGGCAAACCACTCCAGAATCTTTGCCAAGTAAACCCCTTGGACAATATTGGCTTGCTATAGTCCATAGGGTCATGAAGAGTCAGACATGACAGAACAAGCAAGGATGGAATGCATTCTAGGAAGATGGGAGATGGGAGTGAGGAACAGAGAGAAAGCCAGTTTGGTTATGTTGCAGTTTGGTAGGGGTAGTAATGACCAGTGAAGCTGGAAAGAGGTTGTGGCCAAGTTGCATAGGGTGAGAAAAGCTAAACAAAAGGTTATCTTAGAGGCAATAGGAAGCCATTGGAATTGGTTGAGTAGAGGAATCATATGTGCTTAAGGAAAATTACTTTGGCATCAATTAGGAGGCTGTTGGAATCATCCAGGTGAGAAGTGATGAGAGCTTGGTGAAAGGTAGTAACTGTGTGAGTGGAGAGAAGGGGTTGAATGTGAGAGGTGTGGTGAAGGTAGAAAGCAAAATTTGGCAATTTATTATATAAGTGGTGTGAGGAAGGGTGAGATAACACAAAGATTATGAACCTAAGACATTGGAAGAATAAATGTGCCTTCAACAGTAATTGAAAGAGGGGTAAGTTTAGGAAAAGGGTTCTTAATCGTTTTCATTTCATAGTTCTCTTTGGAAGTTTGGTGAAGCTTATAAACCCCTTCTCTTTTTATTTGCCTGACTGCTTCTTCTCAGTCTCTTTTGCTGAACCTTCATCCCAGTCATGCCTACTAACTCTTGTGTGTCCCCCAAGGATTTGTTATTATCTTTCCCCCTCCAAACTTTCTCCATTCCTGAACTTTCCTATTACTATCAATCCTCCTGTTCATCTAGGCTCTCAACTTAGGTATCATCCTCAACTCCTTTTGCCTTTCTAAATTTTTACCCCATTGGTTGGCACAGTGCCAGGAACACCGTATATGCTAAATACATGCTTGTTGACTTCTCACAATAATGTTTTTTAAAAGCATAAAATACATAGGATTACAAAGGAAACTAATTAAGTTACCAAAACATTAAAAAGATTAAGTTAAGAACTCCTGGTTTAGAGGAAAAAATTAATTTAGTTTTTGACTTATAGAGTTTAAGAGGTTTCCATGATGTCCACTTTGAAATAATCAACAGACAATTTAATGATTCAGGATATAATGAACAAGGGAGAGTTTAGGGATAGATATGTGGGTCTAGGAGTAATCTGCATAGAGATCATAGTGAAACCCACAGCAGCTGATGAGGTTATCAAGAGTATATTGGTTCAGTGGCTGCTTCACATATTCAGTATTCCCTCTCCTGCCTTTGAACTGCCTCCTATTATATGAATACCCATCAACTTCATCTAGGTCTCTTGGAATCCTTAATTTTCTCCAGCTCAGTTTTAGTGCTACCTTACAGAGAGGCCTTTCTGGATTCCCCTCCAGTTATTTATTGCTCTTCCACCCAAAAGTTACTTCGAATTTATTCTGCATATATTTTGTATTGATTTACAGGCACATTTTGCTTTACTCTAATTGAAGAAAGCTCCTTGAGAGCAGCACCTTACGTGTACTAAGCCCTTAAAAAATACTTGAAGAAATGATCTTTCCAAATCAACTGGTAACAGCTGAAAAGGAGATAGATTTAGGCCTGATACAAGAAAGAACTTTCTATATTAAAGCAGGGATTCCTGACTCGTCCACACACCTAAAATACTTTTATAATTTTATTACATTCTAGTTTGTTTATTAATCTTATTAACTGTGTTCTGAGAAGGGCTTCACCAGACCGCCCTACGGGTCAATGACATATAAAAGGTTAACATTAGAGCTGAATTTGGGTAGTCCCTAAATACTTAGGGACTGACTTATTAGGTAAGACGTTTGCCCGCACCTTCCACCCCTCAATGTACCCTTGGCTTTCTTAGGCTTAAGGGGCGAGTGCACGCAGTCCGGCGGACCAATCCGGGGCTCTCCGAGGAGCCCCAGCAGGCGCTGTTGCTATTGGCTGGAGCTCTGGAGGAAACCGGAAAGGGCCCCCCTCGGTTGCTAACGGCAACGGAGGCGTCGCTGTAACTGACGTAAACGCCTCGCTCCGCATAGCTACAGACTAAGGTCCAGCAGTCCCTCAGGTCCTCCTCCTTCTCCCCCCCCCAATCCCTTTCGTCCCCACCCCCTTCCAACCCCTAGTAGCCGGTTACGGGAGGGGGCTGGGCGGCTTCTCCCTTCTGTTCGTTAGGTCGGTCAGCGGGCGTCGATTTAGAGAAAGAGACGGAAGCCAGCCGCTTTCCTGGGCTGCGCATCACCTCCTGGTGAGTCGGATGCCCTGTGGGCCATCAGTCGCTGACTTTTCCGGCCTGCGGGCGACGATGGTTAGCTCGTGTTTCTCGGGGCCGCGCGCGTGTGCGTGCTTGCGTGCGTATTTTAGCCGCGCGCTGGCGGCACGTCGCTGCGGCTGCTGTTCCCCTCCCCCCACCCCCCCACCACCCCCTCCCCCACCCCCACCCCGGCACTGCAAGCCTCCAGGGGTGGGGGTGCCTTTGCACTGACCTGTCTGATGCCTGCTGTGGCCACTGCTGCGTTGTAGATGTCAGTGCCCATGAGGGGCAGCAGGCCACGAGGATTAACTTGGAGGAGCGTTTCATACTGTGGCAAACAGAATTCTCAAGGGATATGCTAGTAAAGCAATGCCCTTTCCAAACGTTGTCAACGTTTGGTCATTTTTGTTGGCATTTGGGGGGAATATTTTATTACATAGGTTTTGTTCCCGCCCCCCTCCATTTTGGAAGGGAATATTTTGTCCCACGAGCTTTGTTTTTCTTTCCTTTTTGGAATATTTCCTTAAACAAATTATTCTTTTTACCTTTTTGTGTGTGCACGTTTTGTTACACAGGTTTGGTTTGGTTTTGTTCTTTTGATGGAGTTAAAAAACCCCAGAAAAATAAAGTAAAAAAAAAATATGCTTCGATCTGCATTCAGAGATCTTCCTTCTCTCTCTGGAGGTGGACAGTGTTTTTCATCATGGGTCCTTTGAATTGTCTTGGTTCGTTGTCTTGATCAGAGCAGCTAAGATCCTTCTTACAATATTACTATTACTGTGTACAGTGTTTTCCTGGTTCTGTGCACTTCACTTTGCATGAGCTCATCTAAGTCTTTGCAGGTTTTTCGGAAACCATACCGCTCCATCATTTCTTATATCTCAATAGTATTCCACCACAATTATGTACCACTGTATGTTCAGCCATTCCCCAACTGATGGGCATCCCCTCGATGCTACAAAAAGAGCTGCTTTTAATATTTTTGGGCAAATAGATCCTTTCCCCATTTCTTTGGTCTCTCTGGGATAGTAACCAGTAATGGTATAGCTGCTAATAGTGGTATAGCTGCATGGGGTAGGTAGGTGTTGTATTGGATCATTTACCAGGCTTGGAGTCAGGAAGATCTGAATTCAAATGTGACCTCAGACATTTACTAGCAGTGTGACCCAGGTCAAGTCAGTTAACCCCTGTTTACTTCAGTTCCTCATCTGTCAAATGGGGTCACACTGGAGACGGAAATGACAAATCACTCCATTATTTTTGCCAAGAAAATTCCATAGACAAAACTCCATGGAGTCACTTAGAGTCAGACATGACTGAATGACTGAACAACAACAACAGTGGTATAGCTAGTGTACAGTTTTATAATAAGCCCTTTGGGTGTAGTTCCAAATTGTTCTCCAGAATTATTGGACCAATTTACAATGCCACCACCAATGCATTACTGTCTCAAATTTTCCATATCCTCTCCTGAATTTGTAATTTTCCTTTTCTATTATCTTATCCAGTCTGATAACTGAGGTAATACTTCAGAATTGTTTTAATTTGCACTTCCTCTAATCAGTAGTGATTTAGAATTTTTTTTTTCTCATGTGACTGTTTATAGCTTTGATTTCTTCTTCTGAAAACTACCTGTTCATATCCTTTGACCATTTATTAACTGGGAAATGGCTATTTTTCTTAAGTTTGAGTCAGTTCCCTATATATTTAAGAAATGAGGTTTTTATCACAGAAATTTGCTGCAAAGTCCACACACAGAGTTTTCTATTTTCTTTCCAATTTTGCCTGCATTAGTTTTGTTTGTATTGAACTTTTTAATTTAATGTAATCAAAATTGTCCATTTTGCTTCCTGTGGTCCTCTCTATCTCTTGTTTGGTCCTAAACTCTTCCTTTAGCCATAGATCTGATCACATTTTTTTCATGCTCCCCTAATTTACTTGGGATGTTACTCTTTATGTCTAAATGATTTATCTATTTTTACCTTATATTGGTAGATGGTGTGAGATGTTGACCTATGCCTCATTTCTTCCAAGCAGCTTTCCAGTTTTCCTAGCAATTTTTGTCAGATGTTGACTTCTTGCTTCAAAAGCTTAGATCGTTGGGTTTATCAAACATTGGAATACTAAGGTCATTTACCACTGTGTATTGTGTATCTAATCTGTTCCACTGATCTGCCACTCTGTTTCTTAGCCAGTACCAGATTGTTTTGATGATTACCGCTTTGTGATATAGTTTAAAATGTGAAACTGCTAGGTTTCCTTCCTTCACATTTTTTTCATTCATTCCCTTGATATTCTTGACATGTTCTTGCAGATAAATTTTGTTATTATTTTTTCTAATTCTGTAAAATAATTTTTGATAATTTGATTGGTATGACATTAAGTAAATTAATTTAGATAGAATTGTCATTTTTATTATATTGACTTGGCCTATCCATTAGCAGTTAATATTTCTCCAACTTATTCTTTTTCTGGCTACGTAATGGGGTTAAGTGATTTGCTTAGGGTCACACAGCTAGTAAGTGTAAAGTATCTGAAGTCGGATTTGAACTCAAGTCCGCCTGACTCCAGGGTCAGTGCTCTATCCACAGCACCACCTAGCTGCCCCTCTCCAACTTTTTAGATCTGTCTTTGTTTGAAAAGTGTTTTGTAATTGTGTTCATGTAGTCCCTGGGTTTGTCCTAGCAGGTAGACTCCCCAGTATTTTATATTGTCTGCAGTTATTTTAGAAAAGACATGGAGACAGATAGGAAGACAATCAGGATAGATCAATATCATGGAAACCTAAAGGAAAAAGAGCACTCAGGAGAAGAGGGTGATTAATAGTGTTAAAGGTTATAGGGAAGTCAAGCATGGTGAGCTAAAGCATGGAACATTCTGCTTCGGCCCCTTATTTTATCTGTGTGTGTCTCCCTGTTTCAAGCAACGTATAAGCAACATATTGTTTTAATCCATTCTGCTATCTGCTTGCATTTTATGGACGAGTTTGTCCCATTCATATTCATGGTTATGATTACTGTGTATTTCCTTCCATCCTATTTTCTTCTGTTTGTTCTTCTCTCTCTTTTTACACTGACCCTCCTCTAAAGTCTGTTTTGCTTCTTATCCGATAATTGCCTTCTTTTATCTGCCATCCTTGTTATCATCCCCCCCACCTTTTCCCTTAGTCCCTTTTCCTCCTATTTCCTTGTTGAATAAGATTTATTTTACCAATTGAGTATGTACAGTTATCCGTTCCACAACATGACTGTCCCCATTGTGGTTTTGATATATCTGGGATTGGCATAAGAAATTAAATGGAATTTTGGGGGGAGTTTTGTGGAAGCCGCAGATGACACAGGAAGACCAGCAGATGACACAGAGTCTGTGACCAAATACTTAACCCAAATTTTATGACAAGGTATTGTAAACACCCTATAAAAGAAAAAGAAAGAATTCAGAATCCTTTGGTATGAAGGGCCAAAGAATTTTACTCAGGTTTTCCAGATTGCAGGGGTGCTGCGCCTCTAACCAATGTGGAAGGGGTAACTGTATAAGCATTTTCCCTCTTTGAACCAATTTAGATTTGGCAAGTAAGAGCATTCAGAGCAGTTTCAGTTAAATGATGTGAACAGAAGCCAGACTATAGAGAATTAAAAGACTGAGGGGAAAGGCAGTGGAATCACGAATTGTAGATGACCTTGTCAAGGAGTTTAGCCACAACAGGCAGGAGAGATATGTGGCAATAGCTATTGGGGATGGCTAGATGCATCAAGTGATGACTTTTTGGATGATGGGGGAGACGGGCTTATTTGTAGGGAAGCAACCAGTAAATAGGGAGAGACTGAAGATCAGTGAGAGTGAGCATAAAAGAGGGGGCAATTTGCAGTTGAAGGCAGGCTGGTTTGGGATCACATGTACATGGGAGAGGGGGTTTTGCCTTGGCTGGGAGAAGGGCTACCTCTTCACACAAGATGGGGGAGAAAGCTTTTTTTTTTTTGAAAGTACTTACAGACATTTGTTAATATACTTTGTGTACATTAATTCAGTACACAGTGCTTTTTGAGTTCTTTTGTCTGATTTTTAATAGTTTCCTTGTATTCTCATTTGCTGCCAGATGCCATTCCTCAATGCCGTCGTTATGTCTCTCCCAAGTGCTCCTCTGCTGTCTAGTTTTGCTGTGGCCTTTGTATATAACCTAACTTTTAAAAAGTTACATCTGGAAAAAAAAGAATAAACAGACTAACAATGAGGACTTAGAACACTCTTGTTACACAACTTTTAGTGAATGAATTTGGTAGCATTTTTTGCAGCATCCTATTTATTCATCTGTATTCCAGGCTCTCTTTTCTCTAATCCCTTCTTTACAACGTTGCCAAAATAATCTTAATGAGGCACAGGTCTAGACATGTCTTTTCCCTGCTCAAAAGCCTACAGTAATATCCCCATTGACTCTAGAATAACACTTAGATTCTTCAGGCAGGCAGTTAAGGACTGACTTCATCTGCCTTGTCAATCTTATTCCAATCTACTCCCCTTAATAAACTCTATGTTGCAGCCACGCTGGACCACAAGCTATTCTCCATCTCCCATCTCCTTGCTTTTCCACAAACTGATCCCTGTGCCTGTAATGTACTCCCTTCTTGTCTCTGCCACTCACAGGTAAAATTTTTCTTCAAGGTTCAATAAAGGTTCCACCACTTCTGGGAAGTTCTTTCTAGTTTCTAGCATCCTTTCCCACCTTAATTTTTCCTCATACTAGAGAGACAGCATCAGTAGTAAATAGAGACTTTGCCTTGGTTCCAGAAGGACCTGGGTTTGAATCATGCCCCTGACACATTCTGGCTGTGACCTTGGGCTAGTCACTTAACCTCTCAGTATTCCAGACAACTCTCTAACTCACAAATTATAGAGAAGGGACCAGCCTACATTGGTAGAAGGAGTTCCTCCCCTGGGAGTTCCCTATACCAGTCCAGCCCTTATTCTGCTATTACATTTGTATTTGTACAGAGTAGTAGCAATTAGCATTTTAACATTTTCCAATCTCCTTATGTAAATTTTCTCACTGGATCATCACTACAACCCTATTAAGATAGTTGCTATATAAAGATAATCATCATTGTATAGATAGGAGACTAAGGCTCAGAGAGGTTAAAGTACTTGCCCAGGGTCACACAGCTAATCAGTGGCTGAGGTAGAATTCAAACGAAAGTCCAATGCCTCAACCACTGTGCCAGACTGCCTCATATATATTATTTGCTATCCAGTGGAAGGTCAGCAAGTCTTCCAACAAGCATTTATTAAGCGCCTATGAGCCCAAAGCTCTTTGAAGATGGGGATTGTTTAATTTTTGGGCCCAGCATTAAACACAGTGTCTTGTACTTAAAAAGGGCTTAATAAATGATTGTTGAATAGAATTTTGTTATATTGAATTGGTTTGCATCAGAGGTCATTATTACTTCCTTGTTACTTCTTGGCTTTATTCTGGATAGTTGAGGTGGCTGGATAAATGACTTCAAATCTTGATTACTGTGATGGTGTTATATTTAAAAATATCTACATATTATCAAACTTCTTTCTGATCCTCCTATTTTTTACTTGCCTTTAATTTCAAACAACTTTGTTGCTTTAACCTACTTTCATTTTCATAGGAGATACAGTGATATTCAAATGCATTATTTGTGAAAAATACGTGACAATTTAGGAGTTAATGTTACCACTTTCATAATAGGATTGTGGGAAAATTAATTTTGAACTGGTGATTATTTTTTCATTGAATTCATAATAATTATTGAATGACAATCTTTTGAAAACACATAATTTACACTCAGGAAACCACTTATTATTGCTTTTCAAGATGTATGGATTTTTGCACCTAAATATTTTTATTCCAATTTAAATCACTTAGCCTAGTTAATGATAATCTTTACTTATAGTCATACCTTGCAATGGTTAGGTTAGTGACATTTATTGTATGCTAGAGCTACAAACTTCTTTTGATTTATTCCAGCTTGGTGCTCATAAATTTATGCTTCTGTGTGTACATTTTAACTTTTATGTATGAATCTTGTTCTTGTGTTTTTACAGACTGCTGATTAAACATTCTACATTGGCACTTGACATTTGCCACAAAGACCGAATATGCCAACAGGTAAAAACTTTTTTGGAATGTTTGGCTTAAAAATAATTTCTACTCATTTTCTTTTACCTTCATATTTCTTTTAGGGAAGATTTGTTGAACACAGTAAATAGAATGGAATAGACTTCTTTCACTAAAACATTTTGATTAACACAATATTTAATCTTCTCATTTTGTAATTGTAATAAAATTACAAAAGGGGAAATAGTTGTTTGTTTTGTTTGTTTGTTTGTTTTTTACAATCTGTCATTTGTATTATTTAAAAATTTCCAAAATATAGTTTAGATAAATTTGATTATTTTATGCTATGAGTACCATTAGCACTAAGCAGATAAAGGTAAGTGATTGGACCCTTTTGGGTTCATTTGCCCTTTTATTTTGTTTGACTCACTTCAGATACGTTAAATTCCACAACAGACATTAAAAACTCCCAGTGTGTGAGAGATGTTTGTTAGATGCTAGTGACATTTCTCTTTGGATAATCTCACAGGCTGGTGATGTCATCCATGTGGATACTCCATCCACTCCAACTTGTCCTTCTCTTCCTGTTCTGTGTGATTCCAATCCTTGTCCTCCCATAAATCCTCATTAGAGGATCTGGGTCAGCCTTTCGGTTTTTCTAATATTTCATGGATACCAGTGTAGTAGTTGGGAAGTGTCTTTATGTCATGGGCCTACTTCCTTTTCTGGCCATACGTGTCAGTGGGTGACCTGTTATATACCACTTTTTTTTTTTTTTTTGGTTGGGCAATGGGGGTTAAGTGACTTGCCCAGTGTTATGTGTCTGACACCGGATTTGAACTCAGGTCCTTCTGAATCCAGGGCCGGTGTTCTATCCACTGCGCCACCTAGCTGCTCCTATATACCACTTTTCACAGACATCATTGTTATATGTAATATAAAGGCTCTGCTCCAAAGGGGAATCTGCGTCAAACATATATTCAGATCACATAAGATTCCTTGATAGATGCAAAAAAAAAAAAAAGAGATAACTTCATTTTACAATAAGATCAAGCAAGATGTAATATCTAATATCTTGGAACTTGATCTAGTTGGTAAGTAAAATATTTAACACGTAGTGTTGATACACAATTTTTGTAAAATGTATTAGTTCTTCAACTATTACAAGTAAGATGAATCATTCTGATCAGCTTTTAGCAATGCATTTTAAAGGTAGTGAACTAGTATGGGCTAAAATGTAGAATATTTGGTTCAGATTTACATTTTCAGACTGCTTCTACTCACTGCAAAAGCCTTTCCATTGTCTTTCAGATCAACTGCAGTTTTGATTCTTCAGTGATTGTGTTGCTCCATCATTCTCAACCATGTAGCATTTTCAGGAGAAAATTGATTTTTAAAAGATGGGTTTTAGTTTCAGGGAGCAACTTAGGATAATGAAAAAGTCTGTGCAACTTCCCATATGTGATCTAGCTCACTAACTTTGTCTTAATCATTCCTGGGCTGAGTGCTTTTTCCATTTGCAGGGTTTGTCCAAGCTATGAACTGGACAATAAGCATTCTTTTCCACTTGTTTTTTCCTGTGTGGTTTTCGAAATGGATCTCTTTTGAATGGCCATGGTCTCTTTGAGGAGGCCCAATAGTATTTCTTTGTCCCTTTAGTCAGTACCACAATATCATTCACAGGAAATCTTGAAGTACACATGACTTTCTTGTGAACTCTTTTGGCAAGCATATATCATCCTGTTTAATTTCTTGCTTGATCTTATTTGTTAGAGAATTGTAAAATGAAGTTATCTCTTTTTTTTGCATCTATCAAGGAATCTTATGTGATCTGAATATATATTTGATGCAGATTCCCCTTTGGAGCAGAGCCTTTAAGACTATGTTTTGATCCATCAAGTCAATTGCTTTTTTATAATCAATAAACAGTAAACATTGTGGGTTTTTTTGTGTTCCCTGTCTCTCTTAGTGGTACTGAAGATATGGTCCCCTGTAAAGTATTCTCTATGAAAACATATTTGCTCCCTTCTCATATTTTGATCATGATAACCTCCTAACATACATAGACCATTTTCTTAAAGCTTTTTGAGTGATGAGAACGTAAGCTTGTAGGTCAGTATTTATTGATGTCATTGTAGTTGCCTTTTAAAAAAGCATTAATAATCTTTACAATATTTTTCATTCCTTTGGAATCTTCCCATTTTAGATCTTGAAATTCAATCCCCTAAGCGTTCTTAAAAACAGGTTACCTTCAGCACATATTTCCTTTGTACACATCTGATCATTTTCAGTCACTTTTGCTGACTTTAGTTTTCTTAAAAACCGTGCTGAATATGTTTTGCATAATTATGTATATATTTTTATACTTAGATTTAAAATAATTTTCTTTTATTTCTTGATAACTTCCCATAGTGTGTTTTCTCCAGTCTAATTTTTCACATTCATTAAATTTTTATAGATATATTTTTTACATCACTTTCATTTCTGTGTATATATTCCTTCTCTCTCTTCACCAGCACTTGTCATTTCTTTTTTTCCATCTTTGCCAATTTAATGGTTGAATTGTTTTTTTATCATACTATTGTAATTGTGTATACTATTTTTCTAATTGTATTTACCTCACTCTGTACCAGTTCATTGAAATCTTCCCATGTTTCTTTTAATTTTTTACTATTTGTCATTTCTTATAATATTTCCTTATAATTTGATATTCTTATCTTATAAAATTTCATGTATGTTGGCCAAATTTATTCACCCTTTTGGGAATTCCTTTTGAAAAGTTGCTGCTCTTTTAACATTATGGCTGCAAAATATAATTTTAAACTCTTGAAAGTGAGGGGCTATTTTCATTTTTTTATCTATCTTTTTATCTCTAGCAAATTGCACATAGCAGTAAACATTTAGTAATATTTTCTGGAGCTGATTCTCTCTGTGGTAGAAGTAGGCATGTGACAATGAGGAAGGAATTATAGACTTAGAAATATTTTTTAAATGAAATTATCAGTTTGCAGAGAAAAGATTCTTACTACTGTGCCTCATTAATGCCCTGGAATAGTGCTTTGTCCTCAAATTTAGGCTTCACATATTTGGAATTTTGTTTACATCTTTTATAAACACATTCAAAACTAAATATATCTTGAAACTAACTGAATTTTCAAAACCTAAATACATTTTCTCAAAAACTTGCAAACTTAATGTCATCAATATTTTGGCAATTCAGGAGCTGATTTTGATTTTCTATGGCAGTTTAAATATAAGTAATATTATGTCTAATATTGCATTTGAGGGTTTTCTGGTTTTTAAATGTATGTAACACACATATAAAAGTCAGTTTGTGAATTGACAGGGGTGGGATGTGGGAAACCATGGTGATAACTAACATTTGTTATTTTATGGTTTACAAAGCAGTTTACTGCTAACAACCTTGGGAGGTTGTTAGTTCAGTTATGTCCACATTTTATAGGTGAAGAAATTATTCCTCAGAGAAATTAACTGACTTGCCCATGATCCAGTAACTAGTTGAGTTGGAATTTGAACTCAGGTCTAAAAGTGCCATGTCTACTATGTCACACTGCTTGAAAACAGCACTAATTGATTAGGTTTATATGATATACATACACACATATACATACATATACACATATACATGCATGTACACATATATGTGTACATTGTCATTCAGTCATGTCTGACTCTTTGTGACCCCAAAGACCATAGCATGCCAGACTCTTCTGTCTTCCATTCAAACTCAGGTTATTGTTTCCGTGACGCTGTCTATCCATCTTACCCTCTCCTGTTCCCTTTTCCTTTAACCTTCAATCTTTCCTAACATCAGGGTCTTTTCCAGTGAGTTTTGTCTTCTCATTATGTGGCCAAAGTATTTAAGCTTTAGCTTCAGTTTTTGACCATCTGGTGAACAGCCTGAATTAATTTCTTTAAGAATTGACTAATTTGATCTCGTTGCTCTCCAAAGGACTCTCAGAAATCTTCTCTAGCACAACAATTTGAAAGCGTTGATTTTGCATTGCTCAGCTTTCCATATAGTCCAACGCTCACAGCCCTGCATTGCTACTGAAAAAACAATAGCTTTGTTGGCAATGTGATTTCTCTGCTTTTTACTATGGTGTCCAGAGATCTTTGAGCCCAAGAATATGAAATGTGATACTACTTCCATTTCTTCTCCCTTTATTTGCCATGAAGTGATGAAACCAGTTGCCACAATCTTAATTTTTTTTTATGTTAAGCTTCAAGCCAGCTTTTATACTTTCCTATTTCACCTTCACCAAAAAGGTTCTTAATTCTTCTCTTTCTGCCATTGAAGTGCTATCATCTACATATCTGAGATTATTGATATTTCTCTTGGCAACCTTAATTCTGGCTTTTGATTTGTGTAGCCTGGCATTTTGCATGGTAAACTCTGTATATAAGATAAGTAAATAAGGTGACACTATACAACCTTGTCATACTCCTTTTCCATTATTAAACCAATCAGTTCATTTCCAACCATTGCTTCTTTACCTGTATACAGATTTCTCAGGAGACAAGTAAGATGATTGACTAGTCCCATCTCTTTGAGGACATGCCACATTTTGTTGTGATCCACACAGTCAAAGGCTTTAGTGTATTCAGTGAAGCAGAAGTAGATGTTTTTGTGGAACTCTCTTGCTTTCTCCATAAACCAGCAAATGTTGGCAATTTGTTCTCTAGATCCTCTACCTCTTCAAAAACCGGCCTGCTCTTTTGGTAGTTCTCGGCTCATGTGTTGCTGAAGCCTGGCTTACAGAATCTTAAGCATAACCTTGCTGGCGTGTGAAATGAACATAGTTTGGTAATTTCAACATTCTTTGGCTTTGCCCTTCTTTAGGATTCGTATGTAAACTGATCATTTCCAATGTTATGGCCATTGTTGAGTTCCTCAAATTTGCTGACATACTGAGTGCAGCACTTAAACAACATCATCTTTCAGGGTTTTAAATAGCTCAGCTGGAATTCTATCATCTCAACTAACCTTATTGTTTTTTTTTTAATTTTTTTTATTTTTAACATGTGTTTTTAAAACTTTGAGTTGCAAATTTTCTCCCTCTCCCCACCCACCCTCATTGAAAAGGCACGCATCTCGGTACAGGTTGTAGATGTGTTGTCATGCAAAACATTTCCATAGTAGTCCTGTTGTGAAAAACTAAGTATATTTCCCTTCATCCTATCCTACCCCCCATTCTTTTCTCTCTTTTGACCCTGTCCCTCCTCAGAAGTGTTTGCTTTTAATTATCCCCTTCCCCAATCTGCCCTCCCCTCTATCAACCCCCTGCTCTCTTGTCCCCTTCCCCCCTTATTTTCCTGTAGGGTAAGATAGATTTCCATACCCCATTCTGTATGTTATTCCCTCCTTAAGCCAAATCCTATGAGAATAAGATTCACTCATTCCCTCTCACCTTCCCCCATTTCCCCTCCACTGTAAAAGCCTTTTCTTGTCTGTTTCATGTGAGACATTTTACCTCATTCTACTACTCCCTTTCTCCTTCTCCCAGTATAATCCTCTCTCACCCCTTAATTTTATTTTCCAGATGTCACCCCTTCATCTTCGACTCACCCTGTGCCCTCTATCTATCTATACATACATATAATTTTTTTCCCTCCCACTACCCTAATGCTGATAAAGGACTCATGAGTTACAAATATCATCTTTCCCTGCAGGAATGTAAAAAGTTCAACCTTAATAAGTCTCTTATGGTTTCTCTTTCCTGTTTACCTCTTCCATGTGTCACTTGAGTCTTGTATTTGAAAGTCAAATTTTCTATTCAGCTCTGGTCTTTTCCTCAGTAATGCTTGAAAGTCCCCTATTTCATTGAATGACCATTTTTTACCCTGAAGGATTATACTCAGTTTTGCTGGGTAGGTGATTCTTGGTTGTAGTCCTAACTCCTTTGCCCTCTGGGATATCATACTCCTTGCCCTGTAGTCCCTTAATGTAGAAGCTGCTAAATCTTGTGTTATCCACAATACTTGAATTGTTTCCTTCTAGCTGCTTGCAATATTTTTTCCTTGACCTGGGAATTCTGGAATTTGGCTACAATATTCCTAGGAGTTTTCCTTTGGGGATCTCTTTGAGGAGATGATCAGTGGATTCTTTCAATTTCTATTTTGCCCTCTGGTTCTAAAATATGAGTGCAGTTTTCCTTGATAATTTCTTGAAAGATGATGGCTAGGCTCTTTTTTTTTTTTGGATCATGGCTTTCAGATAGTTCAATTATTTTTAAATTCTCTCTCCTGGATCTATTTTCCAGGTCAGTTGTTTTCCAATGAGATATTTCACATTCTCTTCTATTTTTTCATTCTTTTGAATTTGTTTTACAGTGTCTTGATTTCTCAAATTGTCCTTAGTTTCCAATTGCTCCATTCTAATTTTTAAGGAAGTATTTTCTTCAGTAAGCTTTTGGACTTCCTTTTCCATTTGGCCAATTTTACTTTTTAGGGCTTTCTTCTCCTCATTCATTGGCTTTTTGGACCTCTTTTGCCATTTGGGTTAGGCTGTTTTTTAAGGTGTTATTTTCTTCAGTATTTTTTGGGGTCTCCTTTAGCATCACTCTCAGTTTTTCCTCTACTTCTCTTACTTGCTTCTCAAAATCCTTTTTGAGCCCTTTCATGGCCTGGGGCCAATTCACTTTTTTCTTGGAGGCTTTGGATGTAGGAGCTTTGGCTTCATTTTCTTCTGGTTGTATGTTTTGATCTTCTTTGTCACTAAAGTAAGATAATATAGTTTGACTCTTTTTGTGCTGCTTGCTCATGATCCCGGCCAATTACTTGAGTAGTAAACTCTTTGTTAAGGTAGGGGACTGTTTCCAGTGTGGAGAATGTACTGTCCCAAGCTTCAGGGGTTTTGTGCAGCTGTTTTCAGAGATACTTCTAGGGACCTGAAAATTTTCTGTTCTTCCATGGTGCTACGATCAAGGGCGAGGTGTTTACTCCTTTCCTGGCCTGTGCTCTGGCCTATGAGTGACCGAAAGCACTCTTTTCCATCTTGGAACTGTGAGGATTTCCTCTCCACAGCCACTACAAGCTCCACCATGCCAGCATTCCTCCTCACCCCAGGACCGCCACCCAGAACTGTGACCCAGATCCAAGCACAGGAAAAGCAAAAGAATCCTGCACCAGCAGAGAGATCCCTGAAATCCCCCTCTGATCAGTCACTCAATTCCCCCTCAGTTTGTGGGTCGGAAGCTCAGGAAGCAGCCATCGTCCCCAGGCTGAGCTCGAGGAATGGGGCTGGGACCTAGCTTCTCTCTCTCACTGCAGGCACAGACTTTTCCCACTGACTTTCTAAGTTGTCTTTAGCGTTCAAAGGTTGAGAAGTCTGGAAACCACCACAGCTGCCTGTGATTCAGTCCTCTGAGGCCTGCTCCAGGTTTGCTGTGGCCTGTGCACCCATGCCTAACTGCACTTCTCTCCCAGCCTGGTGCAATATACCTTTCTGATTAACCATCCAGGCTGGTTTGGCTGGAAATTTGTTTCACTTTGTCTTTTTGTGGGTTCTGCTGCTTTAGAATTTGTTTAGACCCATTTTTTAATAGGTATTTGGAGGGTTTTGGGGGAAAGCTCAAGCAAATCACTGCTTTTACTCCACCATCTTGGCTCCGCCCCCCAACTAACCTTATTGTTAACAATACTTCCTAAGGCCCCTTTGACTTCATTTTCCAGGATGTCTGGCTCTAGATCAGTAACTAAACTATTGTGGTTATTGGTGATGTTAAGATCTTTCTTGTATAGTTCTTTTGTGTATTCTTGCCACCTCCTTTTAATCTCTTCTACTTCCCTTAAGTCCCTATCATTTTGTCTTTATATCCACACATACACACACACACACACACTCACCTCTATATATGTGTGTATATATATCTATACATATATAGTAAAATATTTTGCCATCAGAGTATTTAGTTTTATATTTAGCATAACAATATAGTCAGATGTTATTGGAAGGTATTTGGTTAGCTGACAATAACCTTTATAATCTTTTCTAGTTGAGAGTGAAGCAAAGGCAAAAACCAAAGTCCGTTTTGAAGAACTCTTTAAAAGTCATGCTGATTTAGTAGCTGATAAAAAGAAATCCAAGAAGAAGGTTATTAATTCTGAAGAAAACATTTTGGTGAGTGTACATCTTATTAATGATGAGCTAAATGACTGCATTTTTTAAAAAAATGACTTTTACTTTGCATCTGTAAGAATTTTGAAAGTTTATTATGATACAAATGTGTCATAACCAAAGATCTGCAACATGACAGATAAGAGTTGCCACTCTCAGTCCCACATGTGGTTGAATCATCTCAGTTGCTATGGGACCTGGGGGTGAATTGTGAAAAGCCGTGGTAATTTTCCTTGCTATCAACTTCATAGTTTTATAAATATACTCCCAAACTTCCTTGGTTTAGTCTTTTGGCTATTGGCATTGTATTGGAGGACTATGTTATTTCTGTCTCTGTCTGTCTCTTCCCCACCCCCTCTCTCAGCACCTACTCTGCAACTTATAGTCTTAAGACATCTGTTTGTCACTGTGAAACTGAGTGACCTGCTCAGGGTCTCGTAATTGGTTTGTGTCAGTAGACAGGTCTGAACTCTGGTCTTCCTTACTCTGAGGCAGGCTCTCTATCTACTATACCATGTTGTCTTTGTATTATTCAGTCTTAAAAACTGTAACCTCTGCTTTAGAAAAAGTATAGTATCTTTTGAATTAGCCCTGGAAGGTGATTTGAAAGAATGTGGTTGAAGTGAAAGCATGTAACATGTTCTTAGCAACACTATATGGAACAATTTCAAATGAACAGAAGTTGTAGGCTAAAAGATAAACAAAAAGAAGAGAGAGAAAATAAACTCCTTATAATAAAACAACCATAAACATTAGGTCTGCTTATAGTAGGCATTAAATGAAATACAACATTTAGATAAAACACGATCCCTGCCCTAAGCAGGTTAAAGTCTAATAGGAGGATAACATCTCAACAAAAATAGCTGTAGTACACAATATTGCCTGGTAAATACACCTTGTAGTAAAAGAAAAAAATGCTTTGTTAGATCTGAGGAAGGAGAATATTATCAACTAGAGTGATAATCAAAGGGTTTTTTGAAGAAACAGAGCAACTTGGGTTGAATTTTCAAAGGTGGATAAGAATTCATCCAGTGAAAGGATGCAGAGAGACAGTGTTCCTAGAATCTCTAAGCCAAAAAAAAAAAAATACTGAATTGTGAGAAGGCAGTGAGCTACTCAGAGAGCTGCTCCAGGACAGAGAGCTACTCAGCTTGATTGAACTATATAAATGAATGAAAAGCATTTATTAAGCAATTACTATGTGCAAAGCACTGTGCTAAGCTCTACTGATACAAGTACAAAAGAGAGATGTTCCCTACTTGCAAAGAACTGGATCCATATTTTGGTTTGGAAAGTCACAGGGATGGTGAATGAAGCCATAGGAGAATAGATTGACACACACTTTCCTATTAGGCACTATACTGATTTGATTACGGTTCCAGAGCTAGAATGGGGAATGGCACCAGATTGAGGAGTGCCTTTAATGCCAGAAAAAGGTGTTTGTGCTTTACTCAGTAAAGCAGTAACAATTTGCTGCTCGCAAATTTGCAGTAGCAAATTGCTAAATGGTTTCGAAGGGAGGGGTTACATCTATTCCCAGAAATCTCTTCATTAAAAAAAAAAAAAACGTCATTCGGTATGAAGAACTGATTGGAACAGAGGGAGTGGAAAGACCTGAAAAGACTCTATGCCAGTAGTCCAGGTGGACGTGATGAGGTCTTGTTTTATCCTATGAGTTGCTAATGAAATAAAGAAGAGAAAATGGATTTGAAGGATGAACTTCCTAGAACCTGGGAACTCATTGGACATGGGATGGTGAGAGGGAAGAAGGAATTAAAGATAACTCCAAACTTATCAACATACCAGACTGGGGGATAGTGGCATTATATGCAGAAATGGAGGAGCAGCTTTCAGAAGAAAAGTTATAAACTACTCTTGGCACATGTTGAGTGTGAGATGAAGTATGTAGAGTGCTAGATTTGGAGTCAGATGCGGGTTCAAATTTGGCTTCATCTCTGTGACCCTGGATAAGTCATTTAACTTTGCTTAACTTTAGTTTCCTGGCCTGGAAAATTGTCATAATATTACCTATAGTACAGGGTTATTGTGAAGATCAAATGAGATAATATATTTAAGGCACTTTGCCATTGTTAATGCATTGTATGAATCTTAGCTGTTCAAATTATTATTGTTATCTTGTTTCCATGTTTTTTGATGAGACTTCGCTAGAAATGGACCTGGAACAAGTTGATTTTCTGCTTATTCCTTTATATTCAGAGTTCTATGAACTGTTGCAGAGATGGAGAAAAGATAACGGTTTTTGTAGTTAAGTAAGAGCTTTGGTATGTGAGCTTTTCTTCTGCATTCTCAATTCAGATAATGTACTGGTCTTATTGTACACAAAATCCATGCTGTACATTATCCTGGATGATATTTTCTTACAGTGCTGTTGTCCTTCATTTTCCCTCTTTTCCCTCCCCCCATTTTGTATGATTGGTTTAGCTTTTGGGAGGTTAAGATGAAGATGAGGATGGTGATGAGAATGATGTTGATAATAATAATAACTGTTCTTATTTAATTCTTATTTTTAAGTGGATTTCAGATAGGAACAATCTTGGATAGAGTTCCTGTCCTCACTGTTCTTTTATGTTTTAGAGACTATTGTGCATATGGCTAAAAGGACTGATACTTGTAGTTGAATAAAAGTATTAGAATGTTAAGTCTTCTTTTGTAGCCTTGCTAAAGGCATCCTGGCACAACTGGAATTTCCTTTTCATATTTTGTCTCCCTATTAGAATTTTAGCTCCTTTAGGTCAGGGACTGCCTTTTTTAGTTTTATCTCCAGCACTTAGCATATTTCTTTTCACATAGTAAGTGGTTAATAAGTAATTTTTCATTCATTCAACTCCTGTAGCAGACAGGATGATGATGCATATGATATATTCCTTAACCTATTCCCATGTGATTTTGATCCCTTCTGCTTGAGCTCTACATTTTGAAAGCTCTTTATTCCATTCAGCTTGGAGATTGTGAATATTTGGAATAGTAACATGTATTTAAAATATTATCCTTAAGTTTTTATAGATCAGTGTTTTGTTTTTTTTCCAGATAGTTGTGGACAACAAGACCTTTGATAATGGTACAGTTCCTGTATAGGCTTTTGGTTGAATTCTCCAGGTTATTTTGATTCATGTATTGTAATATTTGGGCAGCTAGGTGGCAGAGTGGATAGAGCACGGGATTGGGAACTAGGAACTGGGAACTCATCTTTCTGAGTTCAAGTCCAGCCTCAGATACTTACTACCTATGTAACCTTGAGCAATTCACTTAACCCTGTTTGCCTTAGTTCCTTGTCTGTAAAATGAGCTGGAGAAGGAAATGGCAAAACCACTCCAGTGTCTTTGCCAAAAAAAAAACAAAAAAAAACAAAATCCAAATGGGGTCACAGAGAGTTCTGAAATGAATTCTAGCTCCTGGGTCATAGCTTGGTAGGTACTTGATTTTTTACAGTTTACAGTGTTGTGTTGGGCAGTTTGCATTGTTTCCTTGCATAATGTGCATCCATCACTAATTCCATGCTCCTTAAGAATCACTGTATTTCTGTAATTTCTGGTGGTGGTCTGGTCCTTAATTAACATCATAAATCTCTTGGTTCCATAAATAAATTTTGTTGATTCAACCATTTATTTGCTTCTTTACTGAGATATTGTTAACTGAGTTTATGCAAATGTCACCCATAAAGAGTCTGGATTTCACTCTTGGCTCTTGGTTGTCTCATAGACTTTATCTAGAATAAACTACTTTGGGTTATATTTGACAAAACCCATGGCTTATGCTTGTTCTCAACTTTAACTATTACCCAGGGAAGTGATATCTGTTTATTCCAAAAATTCTTCTGTAATTTTTTTGGCCTTTTAAAGATTGCAATTATTAAAACACATGATAATCAATTCCCTTTATCATTTTTGACAAGGAAGTGTTAATCATTCTTAGTGTGATGGGTCTTTTGTTTTGTTAATAATGAATGGACTTTTGTAAGGTTTCTTGCAAATCTATTGCGGTTCATTTTACAGTTTTGAAACTGTGTGTTGAAATAGGCATTACTTAGCTGTCAGTTACTTTAAATGTGTACGTACCAATGAGCTTTTATTTCAGTATGCCAATAAGTCTCATAATATATACAGCCATAGTTTTCTCCTTGATAGCTTTATGCTAGATGTGGCTCACATGGCAAAGGCCAAGATATTTCTAAGTATTGCCTTTGTCCGTTGGATAAATTTGAAAGCTCAATCTTTTTAATCTCCAGCTTTTCTTGGTGTATGATAAGAATTTTAAACTTATTGAATCCAAATTATTTTTATATATCACTAGAGAAATGAGATGAAAAATATAATGTGTTTTTCAGAGAAGCCATGTAACTGATGCTACCCATGTATATAAAGTAATTAATTTGTTTGGTTCAGCTCCTATAATTTGGAACCCCAACTCAATTCTCTTTAATGTGAGTGATAATGAATTTAAGGCTAGACCAAATTATAATAGGCTTTAAATTATTTCCCTAAAAATGTCACATTTCATATCTGTTATTATTATCATTATCACTGTTACCTCATTCTCATCTTTTTTGTTGGGTTCATATATAAATGGAAGGAATAGAAATATCTGCTTTTATAAATAAATAAGAGTAAGCTTCTCTTCTGTTGTCTTATGAAAGCATCCATGGGACAACCCCAGTAGCAGACAGAATGAGAGGTATGGCATGTACCTTGTTCTTTTCCCCTGTGTTTTTATTATCTGCTACTTGGCATCTATATTTTGAAAGCATTTCATTTCATGGAATTTGGAAATTAAGTGTATAAGGTATGGTGGCAGTTATTAAAATGTAGACCTCAAAATGTTGTGAGTCAGTGTTTTATATGGCAGCTTGTCTTATTTTATAGAGGTGAAGACTTCTGGTGTGTAATTCTAACTACTTATGTCTTTTGATGTGTCTCATAGATGCTAAATTTTTGTGTTCTGCAGTGATATATTGCACAGTTTGTACCACCCTGTTGCATAAACTGCATCAGTCGATAAATCTAAGCTCTTTATATTTGACCACATAACAATTTGGGAATGTATGTTATTCCTATAAATATGAAACTATTCTTTATGGACTTTGGAAATAAGACCTTTATCATAGAAGCTTGCTGCAATGATTTTTTTTTCTCCAGTTAACTGTTTTACCTCTAATTTTAGATGTGTTGGTATTGTTAGTGCAAAACCTTTTTAATTTTGTGTAACCAAACTTGTCTATTTTATCTTCTTAGATAAAATGAAAGATAAAATGAACAAACAATAGATCTTTTCTATCTCTTATTTAATTATGAACTCTTCCCATATCCATAGTTCTGGAAGGTAGTTTCTCCCTTGTGCCTCTATTTTGTTTATGATGTGACCTTTTATAGCTGAGTCTGCTCATTTGGAGCTAATTTTGGTATATGGTATGATGTATTCATCTAAACTTGATCTCTGCCAGACTGCTTTCTAGTTTTCCCCAGAGTTTTAGTTAATAAGGATAGTTTTGTTAAGGTTAATTAATCCTTACCTTGGTAGCTGGATCTTTGGGTTTATTGAATACTCTACTGCTGAGTTTATTTCTGTATGTTGAGTAACCTGTTGTAATGTAAAGAGTGTCATTTAGTTTTAATTGTATCTAAGAAATGAAAAAGTAATATTCAAACACATTTTAAAAGAAATTTATATGTATTCTGTTTCTAGCTTGACACCTTGCGGAGTAATCATGATCTTACCAAAGAAAGTAGAAATGATGAGGCAATTATCAGCAGCACTTGTAATCCAGAGAAGAGTCCACGATTCACTAAAAACAAACCAAAGGACAGAAGGTCAATAGCTGAAAAAATAAGCAATGATGATTTTACTGTAGAAGAAAACCAACAAGTAAAGCCAAATAAGAAGAAAAAGAAATCAGTGTTACAAGAACAGTCCAACAAAGAAGAAAATACAGAGAAAGTAGAACCAGGGAGTTTTGAAAGGAAGATTTATCATTCTCCAAGAAAAACAAAAAATAAATTGCCATCAGGTGTATCTCATCAAAAGAGTGAAAAGATAAAAACTGCCACAGATGAAGTGAGAGACACAACTGAATTAGATGAGGAAGAACAGCTAATACAAGCGTATGAACTCCAGGTAGCTGAAGAAGCGGCTAATGCAATTAGAAAGAAAATAAGAATGAAACTTAAAGAGCAGATGTCTCATTTAGTCTCTGATAATCAAAACCATGAAGAAATATTGAACAATGAAGTGGGAAAAAATAAGAAAAAGAAAAAAGGTCCAGTTTTGCCTGAAACAGAAACAAGGTACTTTACCACTGGTAAATTGTATTGATTTCATTTTGTAGAATTCCTTGAATTTTACAGCTGTCTGCCAAGCTAGATGTTATTTAATATGTGAAAATATTTTACATATTTATTTGGAAATGATGTCAGCACAGTATCAATATTATTTTTAAAAGATATAATGAGCATCTTCTCTGTAACAACTCCCTTGCTTTCTGGATTTTTCTGTAAGATAATTTCCATATACTGTACAACTTTGTCCAGTACATGACATGATATTATTAAAAGCTGACCAAGCATGCTTTTATAGCATTTATCAACATTTGTAGAATAGAACCTGTACTATACTTTTAACTATTGAATTTCTGTTTTCTCCTAATGACACTAGTAAGCCTACCCTCGGTTATCAAAATAATCCTACTTTTCTTTTAATTGAGGCAGGGACCTGCTGTATCTCACAGTAAACCCATTTTGACTGGCCTTTCCTGTTTGCTTTGATTTTTGTGTGATGATATATCAGTTCTTAAATTTCTAAAAAGTTCATATAGAGGATGTTTTTTATTGATCATAGAAGAACTTAAAAATGTTATTTCTAGTTTAAGCTATTATATCAATTTTTATATTTTAGTTTGTGGTATAGAACAAATAATAGAGGAGGACATGGATTCTGTTTATCATATCTACTTGTGTACATTCCCCTTTTGTTCCTAGGTAAAGTTTATACAGTCTATGACTTAGGAACAGCTGACTTAAAAAACTTTCATATTATGTACACAACCTTTTTTGAATTTAGGGCAAGTTCTCTCCAAAGTTCCAGAGAAAGAGAAATGTTCTTTGAGCTACCATATTTCCTTCTAGTCATGTGTTGGGCCCCCTAAATACTGCTAAGTGGATTGAGGGGAGGGTTTAGAGCACTTTTAAGTGTTGCCTTGTTTCTCTTTACCAGAGTTCAGGCGATGGCCCTCACTCCTGTGGTAGAAATATTCTTTATGCTGTTAGGTTCCCTTCTTCTTGCTTGTAGCAGAAATCTTTTTTTTTTTTTTCCAAAGAAAATGCAACCCAGAAACTCTCATAATGTAGCTGAGCTAACCCATCCATTGTAGCATGCAGGTATCCTTGGGTTCATAATGTCAGGTTCTTGAAGTCTGTGTCACTATATATGAATTCAGTAGGCCATATAAACTGGAAAGGTTTTGAGTACAGCTCAACAATGTCATATTTTTTGTTGCCCAAGCACCAGCTTAGAATTTAGAGAGACTCATCACAAGTCTGGGTTTTGAATTTTTTCAGCCATAACAACTTACTTGTTTACCAAATTAAGGAATTGTGATCTGTATAGGTGGAAGAAAGTTCCCAGCCTGGAAACATGAAAGATTCTTGAAGTAGAAGCATAAACTTGTAACCTATATAATCTGATTATTTTGAATGAAAGGAAAATGATGTGATCTCTAATTTAGACTTATTTTGTAAGCTAATAGCTTGAGAAGGAACTTCACCTTTATTTTATTTTATTTTATTTTATTTTTTGGCTAGGCAATGGGGTTAAGTGACTTGCCCAGGGTCACACAGCTAGTAAGTGTTGTGTCTGAGGCCGTATTTGAACTCAGGTCCTCCTAAATCCTCTATCCACTGCGCCACCTAGCTGCCCTTTTTCACCTTTATTTTTGTCTCTGCTTCTGTAAAGCTGATTATTTTGAAAAGATTTTTCACTAATCATAAGATTCTTTAGAAGCATCTTTAGCTCCTTAAATTTATAATCAAATATTAATTTTAAATTCTATCTCATTTCACATAGACTTTTGGAACTTTTTGAGTCCTACTTTGTGAAACTTTAAAAGAAATCAGTTATTTTCCTCCTATGTTTATTCTACTTAGCAAAAGTAATCAGTGATAGATTTAAGCTTTTATTTTAAAATTATTTTTATTAAAATGATACTTTTAATTTTTAAATTAATGTTTATTATATATCATTAGCACTATGTAAGTATATGGTTATATATGCTGTAACCATATTACTGTATGTATTATTGATCATATAGTTCAGAAACTCATAATTAAGATTAATCCGTAGTTCAAACATTACAGTTTGAGATAGACAAAAAAGGTCTCTATACTTTTACATTGGGCATTTTGATTACATGAATGAGTTGACTCAGATAAGACTAAACTTTAATCAGCATATAATAAAATAATTATTATATTTGCTAGTTGCCTCTAAACTGAAGTACTATATAGAATTAAAAATATAAATAGCTTATATTTAATACCGCAAAGATCTGTGATTTTGTCAGTATAGTACTCCACCCACCAACAATGGTCACAACCTTTCTACAAATCAGTATGCAATTATTGAGGATTGCTATGTTTGAAAAATTTATTGCCTTGTGGCCAACCTGAATATGAGTCTTTCCAAACTCAGCTAGGGTGGTGATCTCATGATAGACATCATCAGTCCCATACTTGAAGATTTTCCAACTAGGTAGGACTTGCCAAAGCTTCCATTGCACCAAAATGTAAAGATATTCCAAAAGCAAAAAATATGATTTGAGGTTTATCCTTCCCTAAGCCATGCATAACAAATTATTTGATTGTATATTATTTGACAGCATGTATGGTTACTTTTCAGTGTGGCATCCATTTCTGAGCTGCAGCATAATGTAGGTGAAGAAAATATCAAAAAGAAGAAATCATCTGATGATGTGCTAACTTCAGATTTTAATCAGAGGAATGAAATAAAGGCAGAAGATCAAACTGTCGAGGAAAATGTGGAATGGCCAAAAGCTAAAACAAGAAAGACGAAAAAGAAAACTAAAGCAGGTTTGTGATCTATATTCAATTAGAAATATATGTGTGTGTGTATGTGTATATATATACATATATACACATACACACATATATATTTCTTTCCCAGAATCTCTTGTCTTAAAAAAAACAAGTCACTAAAATATAAATTTTAAATGTACATATAGATTAGTTGTTCAATGGAAAGATCACTAGATTTGGAGTCGAAGGACTTCAGTTTGGATCCTCTTGGTTTTGAGTTTCATTTTATTAAATGAGGGGGAGCTGAATTAGATGGCCTCTTAAGACTCCTCTCAACTCAAAGCCTGTGACTGATGTGTTTTGTATTTAGTACAGCCTTTCAAATTTCTCCAAGGCATTCTGGCCCACTCTCCTCCCTTTGTTCTGTTCTGGTCCCGGCTCATTATCATTTGTATAATAAGTCCACGATTATCTGTCTGTCTATCTGCCTATTTCTTTGTTGGCACACATGTACGTATACATCCTGACAGTCAAGCTTTATAGGTTGTCCTATTCATCTGCATAATATAGTCCAAACAATGGGCTTTCTTTATCCACTTGGTTAGTTAGAGCAAACTGTTTAATGTGAATGTTGATCTTATGCACTGGTCTCTACAGTATTCTGAGTTTAATGCAAGCAAGAAAATATCATTGACAAGCTTTAGAGGTCTTCACCTTTAAGAGGAAATTCCAGCTCGACTTGTCCTCTGTGAATGGATTGCTTCCTACTTTGGGAAATTGTCAAGTTCTTTTCATGATTTCCAGCTTCTCCCTGACACTTGAGTCTCTGGAAAAAAAATTAATATATTCTGTTTATACATCACTTCCATTACACCTGCATTCCTTCCCCTGCAACAAAGAATAAAATAAAGAGGGGAAAAAAGCAGGTCAGCAAGTAAACACATCAGACAGATCTGATAGTATATGCAGTATTCCATACATAATCCCTCAACTCTGCAAAGGAGTGAGGAAGGTGCATCTTTTCATCTTTTCCTTGGGACTAAGCTTAATCTTTATGATTATATTTCTCTCAATTAATTTGTGAAGAATGAACAAACCTTCCCCAAGAATCTTTGTAACCTCAGTTACTTATAGTCATGCAAGTTGTCTATCCTAATTCAATATGTAGTTCCTATTGTTCTCTGCAGTTCCCAGTAGGTGGTGTGGTTTGTCTTTTGCCATCATTGCTTCCTCTGACCATCCTGTGTACTGTAGCTCCCCAGGTGTCACTAGTCTCTTGCTAGAGAGAACATTTTTTTTTTTAATTTGAGCCCTTTCCATGTACTATAGAGAGGAAAACTTCAGAGTTTATCTGTTTTGACTGGAGAAACAGTTTGTCCTGATTTACAACTCAAATACAAGGCCAGACTAAATAGCTTCACCCTGGAATCTTCATTCACTGTGGTGGTTTCATATCTTGGGCTTAACAAAAGTTTTACTGAGAATTCAGGAACGTGTCTTGCTGCTCACATATTCAGATAGGTCTGTAAGATCTCAAAGTCCTCTCAAGTCTTTGAAAAATCTAAGGTGGTTGATGAGTAGCTGATGGAGTTCAGTTGATGTCTGCCTTTTTCTAGTCTCTTTAAAAACCTTCCTTTTTACTTTTCCTCAAAATAATTTCTAATTGTGTTTTCAGAATTTCATTCTTTAGTTTCCTACATTTCTTCTGATTAATTCCTCTGGAAAATTTTAGACCATGGGATCTAGCTCCCTCATTTTATAGATAGCCTGCCTCAGTTCACATGGGCAGCTAGTGGCAGAGTTTGGATTTAAACCCAAATGTTCTGATTCAAAATCCAATACTTTTTATACAGCCCCATGCTGAAGTACCTAATAAAATTGTGGGGTTTTTTCTCCATTTTTAATATAGGAGATTTAAATATTTTATGCTTTTCTAAGAAAATAAAGCATAAGTTCCTTTTTAATATAGTTTCCTTTTCTTTCCCCCAGTGTTTCTTGATAGAAAAACGATTTCCTCATCCCTACTTTTATATAAGAATATTATAATATTACACTAGTTGTGTCAACTTGTACATGCTATTCAATTTTTTCTTTGCTTTACCTGGGGTAACAGAATTGGAAAAGGGAATTTGTATTTACCTATGGGATAGATTCCACTTAGTGGGGATAACTGAAAAATTGCTGATATTGTGACATTTTTAATTTCTACCAATTAGCATACTTTTAAAATAATTTCATAAGCCCACTTAGGGTATTGTTAAGATATAGCAAAAAAAACCCAAAATTAAATGTCAATGTATATGAAGACATGTAGATATATATTAAAATGTACAGAGAGTATTTGATAGTGTTTATACATTAAGTTTTTATATTAGAACCTGCTGTATTTCAGAATTCAAAGTAACATAGTCTCGTTTTTTGGACCTTGTCCAAAAAGGCTCAATTATCAGAAATACTGGAGCAATCTCATAATTTGGGGTCTTGAAACATAGCTTAGTACCTGTAGCCTTGTGTGTGTTATGTCCTCAGTCAGAGAAGCAGGGGCCTTAGGACCCGTAGTGAACCTCAGATATTTTGACAGTTGATTGTAACTGTGTTTTCCCCTTTCTTATAGTTTCCGAAGACAGTGAAGAAAGTGGTATTGATAATGTCCAAGAAGTAACAAGCCCAGAAGTTTCAAGTCAGACCAATAGTGGGTTTGAAGATACCCTTATTTTGGGAGTTTATGTCCATCGAACTGATCGACTTCGAACAGATTTTATGATTTCTCACCCAATGGTAAAAATCCATGTAATTGATCAGAATACTGGGCTGTATGTCAAGAAAGAGCATAGGTAATTATATTTTCCCAATTGTCCACCCATTAGGGTTGAAAATGATTACCTCTTAAAAGTTCACAGTGTTAGAGGCATAGCTTAGGTCTTATGTTAATGTATCATTTGGCTTGTTTAATCTTGGATATTACTCTTAAAATTGCAAGCTGCTTTCCAAACTTTAAATGTAAATGGCAACACCAAAAAATAAAATTGCCTGAATATTTGGAAGAATTTTAAAAAGAAACCCCCAAAGATTACTCTTTTCAAAAAAAAGATGTGGAAAAAGAAAACAAGTGTGTTAAAGATTAGCATATAAGACCACCATACCATTAATTAATCAGTTCATTTATTAAACAAATATTTATTGATGTCCTATTATATGCGAGTTTCTGAGTTAGGTACTTTGGGGAAAATGTGATAAATAAGACAGAGACCCTACCTTCAAAGAGTTTACCATCTAATATTCTATTTTAGGTAGTATACTTTACCAAAATCTAAGAAAGAAGAAGTTTCAATCCTAGTGGTCAGGAGAACTCAGTTCTTATGTTTTTGGTTTTAACATTTTCTCCCATGTAACTCTAGAGGAGTTACTTTTTAGCTTTTATTATTGGGAACCAAAATAGTTCTTACCTTGATATCATTATGACTTCTTACTTCTTGACATCATTGTGACCTGCTTTACATAACTGTCCCTTCTTCCTTCTTTCTATTTTTCCTTCCTTGTTCCTTCCTTCCTTGTTCCCTCCCTCCTTTCTTTTTTTCCTTCCTTCCTTTGCCCACTTGTAATATTTTGTATGATGTTTTCTTTTTTTAATATAGCAACCGAGCTGTTTCATCTTTTTATGAACAAGAGAGAGTAGAGAATGTCCTTCCTATTATGACTCAGCCTTATGATTTCAAACATTTTAAGTCAAGACTTCCAGAGTGGGAAGAACAAATTGTATTTAATGAACGATTTAGTTATTTCCTCCAAGAATCTGAAGAAAGCCCTAGGGTAATTCTGTTTTTTGAGGTATGTTAAATATCATAGATTTTCATTTTGTTTTGATAATGCTTTATTACCGATAAATTGTATTTAATATATAGTAATTTCCCACCTTAAATGTACAACACAATAGTTTAAGATTTTGTCAACGACATCTCTGAAATCAATTTATCAACAACAACTTATTGTACATCTACTTATTCAACACTTTATTAGGTATTTTTGGGTGAGGAATGGTGGTTGTAGAATACAAGAAGTGTAAGACATGGTTGGAAATTTCAGAATGAGAAATTTAGACTTCATGTCAAGCAAAACTTTCTAACAATTAGAACTCTCCAAGAGTGGAACAGGCTACCTGGAAGGTAGATTTTTCCTACTCATTGAAGGTTTTCAGGCAAAGGCTGAAAACCACTTGTCTTATATACAATAGAAGGGATTCTTATGGGATGAACTAAAGTATGTCTGAGACTCCATCTAATTCTGAGATTCTGAGAATTGTAATATGGTTCTTGTCATGAGGGAATTTACAGTCTGATGACGCAAATGATATATACACAGATTAATTCAAGATCAGTAATTCCAAGACAGTCATGAACTGTTAGGTGATATGCTTAGGCTATAGGTGTACAAGGAGTTCGAAGATGGTTGAAATCACTATAAATTGAAGCAAGTGGGAAAAGCTCCAAGGGGGGAAGGTGGTTTTTGAGATGGACCTAAGTGGATAGGTAGGATTTAGAGAACAGGAGGATATTCTTTGGTGGGGGATTTTTTTGGTGGGGGTGAGATGAGAGCATTATGTGTTCAGGGGAGAAGAGGAAACTGACCTGATGTCAGTTAATGGTTCATGTTTAATATAGAATCATAGAATTGAAAGGGACCTTAGAGATTATATACTCCAGGTCACTTTGGCATCATTCCTGACATGTAGCCATCTATTCTGTGCATAGATGATAGTGAATGTAGTAATAGAGAATTCACTACTTTTCAGGAAGTGACCTATCCCATTTTCAGACAGTCTTAATTATTAGAAAATTTTTCCCTATATTAAGTCCAAATTTGCCTCCTAGCTTCTACACCTTGCACCTCTCCCTGCATTCTATGATCCATTTAGACTAGTCTCATCCTCACAGATGATGCTCCAGCTTCCATCACCTTCCGTGTGTGGGGAACTTTTTCTCCTTGCCTCCTCCTCCCAGAATTAGAAGTGTATCTAAGAGATTCATTGAGTTTAACCCCCTCATTTTTCTTATGAGGAAACTTAAAGTAAGGGAGTCAATTGACTTGCTCAATGACATACCTGTTTGTTTAGAGCCATTTACATTTCCACACAATCCTCTTAATAGCCTATAGCATACTTTTGAGGCTGACAATGACAGTAGAAGACTCTTTCTTTTAAACATTTAACCAGCTGACCCACATGGTCTGTGGCTAGCAAGTCAGGATAATTGGGAATATCCCCTGCCCAGCAAGGCAGCATCCCTGAGAGCCCACAGCTCAACCCTGACAGAAAGATGATAGGTTCATCGATCTAGAGTTGAAAGGGTCCTCAGAGACCACTAATCCAACCCCTTAATTTTACAGATAGTATAGTCTTCTTTCTAAAGGTGATCAGAAAGTAAAGGTTTATTATAATACTATTAATAGCCAACAGTTGTGTAGTGCTTTCAGGTTTACAAATTGCTTTACTTACATTATCTCATTTGAGTCTCACAGTAGCTATATGTGGCCCATGTTACAGATAAGGAAACTGAGGCTCAGAGGATCTCGCATCATACAACTTATATTAGCCACAACATTTGAACATGTCTTTCTGATTCCAAATCTAGAGCTGTATCCTTTCATAGACATATAGAGTTAGAGTTGAAAGGGCTATCTATTCCAACACCATATTTTATAGATGAGAAACTGAAACCCTGAGAGTCGTGACATGCCCAACACCATTTGGTGTATATATGTGCCAAATAGCATTGGTCTCTGTCCTAGAGATTTGCCAGAGCAAATGGATCATTTTATGGCCTAAGTGATTTATTTATTTATTTTTTTTATTTTCTTGGGCTAGAACTTGTATTAGTCTCTCAATACTCATCTCAATTCAGTGCAATGTTATTAAATGTCCACTATGTATAAGGAAAGTAACTGTATTGTGTAGTGGAGAGGATGCTTGTCTTGGAGAGAAGACTGATTTTCAGGTGTTATCTCTGACACTTACTGACTGTGTGACTGGATAAGTCAGTTAAGCTCTTGTCCTTTAAGTGACTCTCTAAGGCTCTGAGCTGCAAAGAAGGTGTTGACTTACATTCATAGGAGTTTTCTCATCTGAAACTTCCCCATGCCACAGGCCTAGTTCCTATGTCTGTCTTTCTGTGTGTAAGACTATGCTTGGTGTTGGAATTAGAAAGACAGACAGAAAGAAAAAACAGTCTTTCCCCTCAAGGAGCTTTTAGTCTACTGTTATATTGGCATTCTATAATCACTTTATTTTAGGATTTATGGAAGTCAAATATAAATATAATAAAAGATTTGTGATTTTTGTATTAAGGTAATAATTAGTTTTCCATTGAATATGTTAGGTTATTCTATTTTTAATTCATTTTAACTTTAGAAAAGAGGATTTATGGAGGTTTATAGTTGTACTACAAATAATTATAATTGCATGTCAGTTTTACATCGATAAGGGTTACATTTTGATTCCAGGTCTAATTCTTAGATTTATATCTATAAAACTGTCTAGATTTGAAAACTGACCCATTTTTCAAATGGGCTCTACTCTATGCAGATTAGCAGATAAAATATCCACAATTGCAGAGAAAAACAATTCAGGATTTTAAAAAAATAATAAAGCTTATTGGAACAGAAATTTTTATTTAGTCAAACAGAAGATAGTAGTTTTTAAGAGTCAATTATATAACATTTTCATTGAGTTCAGAGGATACTTGTTTTATTTTTTATTCAGGAAAATAGTTTTATTTTAATTCACTTTTTTAAGCCTTAAGTTTATCTGTTTTGTGTACTCTGACAGTTTGCAAAATTTAAAGTGCTTGCCTTTATTTTTTAAATGGAGTTAATGTTCAAGTATAAGTTGTTTGTATCAGATTCATGGCTTTTCTTGACTCAAATGAAAAATATTTATATGTATCTCAGAGCATAGTAATAAAAGATATTTTAACTGGTTTGTCTGATTTTAGAAAAATGAAAAACTCAACTGTTGTAGAACAAATTTCTCGATGCAGTGGTGAGAAGACTTAGCAAGCCAAACTATGAAACTTTTTTATATAGCTTTATAAAGATGATCAAAAATTCTACTTATTTTACACTCACTTTTGTTAAAGTGTATCTCCTCGTATCATCTTGTCCAGTCAAATTGTTTGCACTGAAATTCTTGAAGATGAAATTGCAGATTTAGATTTTAATTGCTGTTTATTTTTTATTAGTGGAGATTTTTTGGTAGATTATCATCTTTTAAAAAAGTAATAGTCTATTTGGCATAGTTTCTGAGGAAGGGGAAATGTTTGTTGTTGAGTTATCTGTCCAGCTAGTGCTTTCCAGCTGTTGCTTTCCTCACTTAGCCATTATTCTCAGTTTTATGTTTTTCTCTCACTGATACAATAGTGATTTCTTCTTTCTCCTTCATTAAACCTTGGGCACACAAAGGTAAAAATCAAGTCATAAGACTGGAAGGGACAGTTATTTCTATTTCTAGAAAGGGCAGGTAGGTGGTGCAGTAGATAGAGTGCAGGGCCTAGAGTTAGGGAGACAAATTTTCCTGAATTCAAATCTGTTCTCAGACACATATTAACTCTGTAACCCTGGGGAAGTGACTTAACCCTGTTTGCTTCAGTTTCCTCATCTGTAAAATGATCTGGATAAGGAAATGGCAAACCAGTACAGTATCTCTGCCAAGAAAATCCCAGCTTGGTTCACAGAGTCAGACACAACTGAAATGACTGACCAACAACAAAAATTTCTTTAAGACTATCAAACCCCGTAAGTTGACTCTTCTCTACTAGCAATCAATCAACAAGCATTTATTAAGTACTTACTATGTTCCAGGCACTATGCTATGGATAAAAATAAAAGTGTAAGAGCGCTTACCTCAAGGATTGTACATTTTGTCAGATCCACTCAAGATTTCGTATATCTTTGTTCATATAGCCTTACTGTTGTCTAACTGAAATGACTTCTGATAATCATTACATTTAGTTTTCTCCCCTCCAACAAAAATAAATGATGATTGTAATATCCTTCACATATGAGTGTGTGTGCACGCACGTGTGTGCGTTCAGAAGCTGATTAGCAAGTTTTGGTTTATCAGCCCCAATACATACTTAGAGGTAAATGACTTTTACTTGGTAGAGTCATGCTGATTACTTAGATTGCCTTTTTATACATGGGGAATTAAAGAAAAGCTTCACAAAAAGAAAATGAGGGATGCAGAAAGTCATGTTAATAATTAAGTTGTTATTAGATTGACTGAGGTGCAATGCAAGTAACATAATATGTTTTTGCTAAATTGAAACTATTCAGATGTCATTTAAAGTTGGTATCTGATATATATTTTTTAAATACAACAGCATTAGGATTTTTCTTTCAGCTTAGAAAATATTAACATTTAGATCAATCATGACTCAATAAGAATTAATGTGTTTTTGAACTAAATATTTACAGATTCTTGATTTCTTAAGCATGGATGAAGCCAAGGCCAACTCTGAGGTTCAAGTCCAGGAAAGGGGTTTTCGCAAAATTGCATGGGCATTTCTCAAGGTAATTTTTAAATGTTCTAAACATTGAAGATTTTCCTTTATATTCCATGAAGCTGTCTACCAGGATCACACAGCAGGAAAGTGGCTGAGGCTAAATTTGAATTCAGTTCTTCCTGACACCAGGCCCAGCTCTCTCTCTCTCTCTCTCTCTCTCTCTCTCTCTCTCTCTCTCCCTCTCTCTCTCTCCCTCTCTCTCTCTCTCTCCCTCTCCTCACTCCCCTCTCTCCCCTCTCTCTGTCCCCTCTCTCTTTCCCCTCTCTCTCTCCCCTCTCTCCCCTCTCTCCCCCTTCTCTCCCCTCTCTGTCTCCCCTCTCTGTCTCCCTCCCCTCTCTCCCCTCCCTCCCTCCCCTCTCTCCCCTCCCT